CATGGATATGGTGCTACATGTAATTTTAGCATTTGTATATTAAAATGTGACTTTTTAACATGTGTTTTATGTGGTACCAGTAATTTTTTATATGTCCTTGAAAGTCCTCAGCTACACAAATATGTGTCCTGTCTACAATATATAGGATGTGGGCATATATTCCTTTCCTTTTCTCTGAGTAAAAGACTGCTCTTTACTTGTCATGAACAGGGATTAGGTCAGGTGTGTTCAGGATCCTAGACCAAACCCAGTGAGCCCGTCAGGAAGCTGTCACCTTTACTGGGCCAATCAAGCTGTCAAGGCATTCCTCACCCCACAGCCACATGTATACATACCCATTCTATATGTGCATCTTTGGGCATGGAATTCCCTTGCCGCAGATGATTGGTCGAGTACAAGTGACAGCTTTCTGGCAGCTTGCCCAGGTGGGTACAGACTAGGATTTGAACACACCTGAGCTCATGCCTAGTTGTTAGAAGGTATATCATGAATAAACAAAATACACTGCTCTAAGCTACATCTTGTCACTCATAGCCTAAGGCAAAGATTTTATAGTTCCTGTTTTACCTGGCCATTGTCTATCATCATTAGAGACTGCAGAGAGTTTGTTGCATTTAGTGCCCATTCACACCAAATTGCAATGCGGGAAACCCGCATTCCGTGCGCGTTCTCTGCACCACATTTCAAACACACTGGGTGTGCAGTCTGCTGCGGGCATCAATAGATTGCTCATGATACTTCAAACATAGATCACAAAATGTAGTTGTTTCCCTGCACCAGATAGCATGGTACCATAGTACCATGCAAACCGGTTGCAGTGAATTTTTAAAAGTAGTGCATGCATGAATGAGATCTCATTACCCATGTGACTGAACAAAATCTTTAAAAACAATAAATCCAGCGCACTTTCAGCCTATTTAAATGTATAGACTGGCATTCGCATCGCACTGAATTACACAGGAACACGCAGCATGTTCTTGTATGATTCCGATGTGAATCAGCATTTAGGGACAATTCAAATACAGTTCTGTGCGGTGTGATTTCAGTTCATTCATTTTGTTGGTGTTGAGGTCCTTGACTGTTCTGTATCTGAATATATCAATTACCGTGACAGTTCTAGCCGAATAAAACAAAGCCAATCTACTTAAAGTCAATCTTCATGATTTCTGTACTGCTTTAAACCAGATAAAAATGGCCTGAAATTGCGCCGCACCAACCTGCATTTGGGGTGTGTCATTAACTTAATGTTGACCCCTGCTGCGTTTTGAATGCAATTCAGGAAATGCACATGGAACACGGGTTTCCCCGCACCATGTTCTGGTGTGAACTGGCCCTTATCCAGAAAGACCTTATAAGCAGGGTGGATTTGATTTTAATCAAACTGATTTAAATCACGATTTAAATCACTAGTCAGTAAGGCTTGATTTAGATCATAGTTTTCTACATAGACTAATTCTTGCTGGTATAACTTTAATATGCAAGTAGATGAAGATTTTTAGAATAACAACTTTTCATATTATTTTTTTTTATCCCCAGTTTAATAGGTTAATCATTCATATTTGGACAACTTTTTGTACTTAGGAAGGAGAAAAATAATCATTACCTTAATAATAACCATTTAAATAGATTTATTCAACTGAAACAATAACATTCCAGCAAATGTGATTTGCTTAAACATCCATGTTTGTTAACTAATTTGGCTAAACAAAATATATATATTTTAAGAAACTTAGACTGCCAGCCCCTTCCTCCTCACACTTAGTTTCACTTTCTTCTTGTGCAGATCTATACCACTCCAAACAATCAGAAAAATATTGTTTGTATTCTATTCACTGAACTTCTTGAAACTTAGCACTGAAGGGGTTGATTCTGTATTCATAGGTTTGTAGAAGTTAGGATTAAGGTCTTTTTCTTAACTCTGTTCATGTTATAACATTTTTGCTGTGAAGAAGAGGCATGTGATCTCTGCTGAGTCAAATTCAGTTTTGAGAACTGCAAAAGTAAACCGAGCATCTGTGATAATATCTTGTAGGCAGAGAAACTGCCCAATAATCTTACAAAAACCTCTGGAAGAGCATGACATTGTGAATGGATTCATGGAATTTATTTACCAAAAAAAATTAAACATATACAGCCTTATTCTACATAATTAAAAAACTAATCTTTATTTCATGATGGAATAACCCTTTGGATGGTAATATATTTTCCTCAAAAAAGCATTTTATTAAAGAAAATCCGATTGCAACCAAAGTTATAAAAAGTTATTATTATTTAAATTAAAAAAATTGATTTAAATCAAAAAATCTGATTTAAATAAAAAAAATCCGATTTAAATTAAAAAAATCTGATTTTTTTTTTTTTTTTTTATTTTTTTTAAAAAAATCATTGATTTTTATCCACCCTGCTTATAAGTGAAATAAGCAAGATATACTGTACATATATATCATTACAATTCTACATAAAATTAGTTTTCAAACCATAACATTCTTTGACAAGAGACTGTATTTTGTATTTTTCACGTGTATGTCTTTGAAAAATAACAATAACAAGGCTTTAGGTCCTCTTTCAAATGAATTTCTTTGAGATATATAAGGGGATATAATTTTGTTGCACAAACATGGTTGTTTATCACCCTTTTCATCATTTGTATTCATAATGAGTCTGTTACCAAGAGTATATGTAAGACATTTCATGGTTATGGCAGCTGGTGTTAAATGTATATGATAGTTTTGCTGATCCACATCAATTGTACAAGGAGAAATTCACAGTGACACCAAAAGACCTTTAAAATCAATGATGACTATTATTTGTTAGTGATGGGGCCCTTGACTGTTCTTGAATAAATCAATCACCTTGACAGTTCTAGACAAATAAAACAGAGCCAATCTAGTTAAAGTCAATCTTCATGATTTCTGTACTGTTTGAAACCAGATAAAAATATAAAATCTTATTTATAGTATGACCCTACAGACATATCATAACAGTAGTTCTTGTTTTTTTCTTCTTAGTATCCCAGGTACTGGAAAGATGGTGCTCCCAACAAAATTTCAGCTGGCACCGAACTTTCTTTAACGTTTCCATTGCTGGAGGCCCATAATTCGCATATACTTTATTATATTCAGAATTTAAAAATACAATTTAAATATCTTTTCTCTTTTAAAGTCAGGTAGATCTGAAATATAACATGTGAATGTTCCACATTTATCCATCCACCATGGGGAGCTTTTGGATTTTTACAAAAAGCTGCTGTGCTGAAAAGTTTACAAAGCTCATTAACACAAACTCAAATTACACACAGCTGAAAGTTGTTGGAGTGAGTCATCCCCCTTTTTATATACTCTTAAAAGATAAGTTCATCTTAAAAAAAAAAAAAAAAAAAAGCACTTTTTTTGCACGTAAAGAAATGTGCAAATGCTGTTTGTTTTTTTTTTCTTAAGAGCCTGTAAAGCATTGCACCCACAACCTGCAATGTCCAGCTCCTGCAGACTGTTGGTGTAGCTGTCTGCCTGTATCTCTGATATGGGCAGGCACTTACTTCAGCCCAGGAAGCTCAATGACCAATGAGCTCCCTCACAGTTCATTGATAACTACAGTACAAGCCGTCAGCCATAAAGTATGACGGTACTTATACGCATTCATTCGTAGAATTGGGTGATTGAATGGCACAGCCACGCTATTTTAAAATCGTGACAGCGGGTCAGGGGAGAGCTGTAGGAGTGGGAACATGTTACATGTTTCACGCTAAAAATGGGTGGAACATGTAACATGTTCCCAAAGGTGAACATATCCTTTAAACAAGCTTTCAGATAAGGAGAGATGGTATGAAAGCAAACAATGTATGCTCTTCTCTCTTGTCATAATGCTCTGTGACAAAGATATGTCTCATTAGTGTAATTCAGTTATTGTGGAGAAGCTACTTATGCGGATAGAGAGTATGCAATAAAGCTGGTAGTGCCCAGTTTAAAACCAAAAACTGCCTTCAATCATACATACACTCTCCTTGAATATTCTTTCCTGAAGCATGACTGTATGTTAAATGGAAAAGGCCCCAAGTAATTAATTCTAGTCCCGCGTTTAAATTAAAGCCTGGCGTGACTAGGCTCTTTATCTGCACCTTTTAAATATGGAGCCAATAAATAGTATTTTCATAAGGAGTTTATTTGCAGGCACCGTATTTCTCTCATGACAGGTGTACTTCAAATTTAATTTTGCTTTTTCACGGAGACATGAAAATTAAGTTCCCTACTAAACGTCTCTGTACTCATATTTTAGATTAACAAGTTTAAGAGGGTTTAGTTGTCCTAAACTGAAGTTTAATTCTGCTTATATTTTTGCCTTCCCTGGTGCCTCCTGTCCCCCTCCTCAATGTGCCTTTTCGTTTTCATTACATACCGTATTTCACGCTTCATAAGACACACCTGACCATAAGATGCACCTAGGTTTTAGAGGTGAAAAACAAGAAAAAAAATATTCTGAACCAATGGACTGCAGACTCAGTACAGGAGATGACCAGAGACTGCGGACACAGTACAGGAGATGACCAGAGACTGCGGACACAGTACAGGAGATGACCAGAGACTGCGGACACAGTACAGGGAATGACCAGAGACTGCGGACACAGTACAGGAGATGACCAGAGACTGCGGACACAGTACAGGAGATGACCAGAGACTGCGGACACAGTACAGGAGATGACCAGAGACTGCGGACACAGTACAGGAGATGACCAGAGACTGCGGACACAGTATAGGAGATGACCAGAGACTGCGGACATAGTACAGGGAATGACCAGAGACTGCTGACAGTACAGGAAATGACCAGAGACTGCGGACACAGTACAGGGATGACCAGAGACTACGGACAGTACAGGGGATGACCAAGAGACTGCGGACAGTACAGGGGATGACCAGAGACTGCGGATAGTACAGGGGATGACCAAGAGACTGCGGACAGTACAGAGGATGACCAAGAGACTGCGGACAGTACAGATGACCAGAGATTGCAGACAGTACAGGGGATGACCAAGAGACTGCGGACCTTTGGGGAGGGAGGGGGAGCGGGCACCTGAAGTTCTTTTCTTTAGTGTGAGCACGCTGGCTTCTTCCCGCGCCGGCTTCTGTGACAGCCGGGTGCCCACTGTGCATGCGCGAGAAGCGCTGCGCTCTTTGAATGGCCCGGCGCCTTCTGGGACCTGTCATGTGTTCCAGAAGTCGCTGGACCATTCACAAAGGTCAGGGCTTCTCGCACATGCGCAGTGGGCACCCGTCTGTCACAGAAGCCGGCGTGGGAAGACTGCAGCGCTGGACAGAGGAACAGGTAGGGTCCTGCAGGAGAGAAGAGCTGAGCGGCCGGCCCGGTATTCTGACATGGTGGCGGCGGCGGAAATACTCCATATTCGCTCCATAAGACGCACTGACATTTTCCCCCCTTTTTTGGGGGGAAAAAAGTGCGTCTTATGGAGCGAAAAATACCGTACCTTCTTCTTTTTTTTTTTAAACATATTAATGGCATTACTGGGTCTCTGTGCAATACAGGCAGATGATGGCTAGTGGGAGCCCTCACTCCTGATGCAAGCAATGATCTGGCTCTTGGGGGGAGTTATGCAAACATCAGAATGGCTTAGTGCATGAATGTCAGTCTGGAGGAGTATACATTTCTAGGTAGACAGCTTTTGCATGCAGACTGCCCTAGGCAGCATGAGCCTCTATGACTGGAAGGACTGAAATTCATTGAAAAGAAGGGGCAAGCCAGGGACAGAAAGGCTAAGGATAATGGCTAGATGACGCTGGATGTCCTCCAGCCAGGGATGAGTTGGGCTTTATCTAACTTTCTGCAGCTTCTAATGCATATTGTGAGATGCTTACAGTGTGCAGTAAAATCCGAGTAATTCCTTTTGTACCAGAGAGGAGCATGTACAACTGTGCAAGACTGAAGATAAGATTGGAGTTCAGCTTTAACAGTGATTCCTTTTCATCAGGAGCATTGCCTTCAGCTTATGCACTTTTTATCTCAGATCTACAGCTGCTAGGTGTTTGATTTAAGATATAAATCTTCCTTTGCTCTGTCTGTGTAAAAGAAATCAATATATATTTTAAAAAATGTACCCATAGTCAGGACTACAGATGGTATTTGTGGCAAAGACTGTGGTAGGTATATGGCAACATTTAGGGAAGCACTTGGCAATAGAGGGATTTGATTGCTCCCACCCATTTTGGAGTCATCCTGCTATGTTGATCCATTGCAGGTAACACATGTACAAGCTACATTAAAACCAGGATGGAAATGCATTACATGTGTTTATAAGATTGTCAACACTAGTTGTAAAGCAGTATTAAACAAAAGGAAATATTTATTATATTGCTGCTTACCAATTCTTATATGTGATGGCTGCATTGGTTTCTTTTTTTTTTCTTCTATTTTCATCTGTTGATTCAGCTAGCAACTCTGGTGTTTTTCAAAAGTTCATGCTGTCCAGCAGAATGTATCAGTTTACATGACAATCCATTTACCACTAACGGGGATTAAAATGATCAGCTTATATTTATGCATGTGAAACCTTTATTCCAAATGAAAAAATATTTTTGCTGTAACTTATTATAAAGTGATAGCTGGAGTTTGACTTCAATTTTTATTGTATTCAAATCTGCTAATACATTTAACACTCCCCTCCCCTCAGACTGACAATGATGCTGTCTGCTGTATCCTGTGCTCATTCCTCCAAAGCCAGATCACAGAGGTTTTGGCTTTAATACCGCTCTATTAAAGAAAAGAAAAAAACTAGTCCCACGCAGGCTTCTGTCACCACACACTAGCACATTATGAATGACTTATCTAAAAAAAACGGATCCCTTCAGTGGCACGCTGTCACCAATGACTGGGATTCCATCTCTACCGGTCTTCCTTCTGGGTGTGCAGGCTCCGGCCGTTTGAATGGTCAAGCTGTGATAACGTCACTTCCGCACATGGAGCCATGGCCGCAGCACAGCTCTCTCAGTGGATGGCATGGCGTCCATTGAGAGCGCAGTGTGCATGCACTAAAAACATCACCGGCTGCTTCCAATGTAAATGTCTCCTAAACAGTGCACATATAGACCATAGTCACAAGATAAAAAGTAGAGCTTACTACTGCTTTAAGCTTTCATTATTAGAAGGGGTGATCAGGGTAACTGGGAGCCTGTAACACTAGTTCCTAGTCGTAGACCTCCAATCAAATAGTGAATAACCAAATGCTAAAGGGGGAATCTATATTTTACAGATGTACAGCAATCTAATGTGGTATGTTAATTATGTGTATGATGCTCCCTCTATTTCTAGTGACCACTATCTGCAGGCTATGAATTTTTAGCAAAGTTAGGTTCCATAATGAAAAATGAGTTTATTGTAGCCATTGAAACCATACATCGCTATACATTTATGAAATAAGTTACAATGAATGAATAGAAAATGTAAGAAAAAGGCCCAGGGTGCAGAACAAAAGACTTTTTATGCATAGTGTTTTAAGCTTGGTACAAATATCTTAACCCTGCAAAATTCCAAAGCCTTTCCTCAGTGCCTTTTATGTTTTTCAAAAGATAAATGTGTTAATTTTAAGTTTCTCTTTCTGGTTAGAACTTAACAGGCACATATGTGGCCTTTATGTGGTGCCAAGTACATCCTTCTGACAGTCCTCTCTGTCAGCAAGTTTGTTTGCCAAGCGCAGCTCCTGTGCAGACAGAAAGTGAACTGTGGCTATGATCACCGCATGTGATCTGACTTTTCAAGTTCTCTGCTCATTGCCTGGAAGGAGCCTGCGTGAAAGCTGGAAGAATAAAGGTGATTGGACGTCATGTAGAGAATGCATTAGTGTTCAATGGAGTTTAAAAAACAATGTTACATGAAGTTTTATTTCAGACAGAAGTACATATATAGAACTTTTCTGTTTTAAAGAACAGGCAGAAAGAAAAAGCGCATTTTAGAATTAAAATAACTACTGTAAACTTGTATTTGTTTTATCGATGTCTTCAGCACTCTAAAGGACCTTACATATGAAAGTATTAATACTTTCTCCACCACAACCAGTCAGATTCAATATTTAATCAGTAACTAGTTAAATGTGAGTTCTCAGAAGTGACCATTTGATATATTAAACCCATCATAGCTATATCCTGAAGCATAAGACCCTTTTCTGAAGCTACAGATGTTTATCTATGAAGTTTCATCTCTATCTGCCAAATCTTGGTGACCACCTCTTCATACCCTGCCAGTGCATGAGACATGAGACATTCAGAGCTGCAGGCGTTAGAAAATGTAATACATATAGTCATTTAATTCTCTTTTTCTATCATTTCTCAATTTAGCCACCACTGAGAATATCCCCATTGGGATCCGGATATAAAGTTCTAACTGGTATTTTGGAGTTGTGGAGAATGTAATACAAATATAGGTTAACTTCTGTCATATGACTGGAGTCAAAGCTGTTTCGTTCACCCCTCAGCAAATGGAACAACCCAGGTTCCTTCAGCTTGTGAATGAAGCCATACACAGATCTGAAATATGGTTACCATTTGTCACAATCATGCACACAGGGAGAGGTGCGGTTCACCATTTTGCTCCAAACGTCTGCATTTTGGTATTTCTTTTAAACTCATATGCAATCACCTGAGGGGGGGGGGGGAGGTGTAGCAGCTGTGGACACTAGAGCCAGGCACGGCTCTTACTGTGTTAAGTCTTAATGTTATCCCCTCATTCCTCCTCCCTCAGGAATGCAATCAGTGTATGATGCTGAGCCCCTGCCTAACAGTCCTCTGCCCAAATAAGTCTTGGCTTGTACGTTGTAGGAAGATACCAGTTGATTTTGGGTAGAAAAAAGAAGCTGTTATGCTTTGTGTGCACACAGAGAAGTGAGGACCAGGGGCGGACTGACAACTCATGGGGCCCCCGGGCAATAGGGAATCATGGGGCCCCTGTTTCCTTGCCCAAACTCAAAAAAGCCTTTGAAAAAGGTACCAGGGGCATCTCATGGGGCCCCCTACTGACCCCGGACCCTCGGGCAGTGCCCGAGTTTCCAAATGGTCAGTCCACCCCTGGTGAGGACCGTCTGCGTTTTAACATCTGGCAGACAGAGAGAAAGCAAAGTCTCCTGCGATGAACCAACGAAACTAGCAGTCGAGACCAGAAATCCCTTTTAAGCTCATCAGACTTGAAACTGTTTAACCCCAGGCATCTTTGTGGGCAAGTACCTAAACTTCTTTCTGTTATCTGTTTGCTGTGCTGTTGTGCTCTGTATGTTTTTATATATTTTTTATTTATATATATATATATATATATATATATATATATATATATATATATATATATATATTGGTTACATCTTTTACTGTAAATATTTCTACTGCACCCTTTTGACCTTTTAGTAATAAATCTTACTTTCTGAAAGTGTTGAACTGTTTCTATAGCTCTTGAATGTAACTTACGAATCCCTACCGCTGAAGAACGCTACTATGAGTGTTTAACCCTCTGTATAACCTGTCTGTGGAGATAGCGGAATACCAACGATTAATCAATCATCCCTAGTGTATTGCTGGAGTTTCCTCTTTCTCTGTACGAAAAGGAGGTGGTGGCAGTGTGAAGGGTTAATTGCTAATTAACCTGACCTAGTAACAAATGCTCCCACGCTGCAGGTGCGTCAATTGTGGTCCAATTAGCTGGAAAATCTGTGTGCAGGGTGCAGCTGGGTGTGGCATTGTTACGCACGTGACATCGCGGTTTTAGATTGGCTTGTCCTTCGGTCACGAGTTTGGTGAGAAGGGTTGGGGTCTGACGCCGTGCCCGTCACACCATTAATCCCAGATGCCTGGAGATAGTCCACTTTTTGAGGGGTCTTTCCCTGGAAAACGAATGTCCACAGCCATAAGGCAGTAAACATTACAAGGTACAGGTGCCTCAGCCACCCCAAAATGGCACAAAATTCTGTAACTAATTGCATATGTGCTGTAATACACATGCAGTGGGTTAGTTTTCCTTTTCTGGCTTTTGTATTAGGCAGCCTTTTTCAACCA